TACTAGATAGGGACTGTAGGTTTGTTCTTAAGTTGAATTTGTATGTAAGTCGGAACTGGTACATATTGTAGGGGAAACTCTAGCCAAACATTTCTCCAGAGCTCAGTTTTATTCTCCCACACCTCACTTCCCTCAGTCCTTTATTCTCAAGCTGAGGTGTCTGCTGAGAAAAGCTGCTCCGCGTCTCCCTGGTCTGCTGGGGGGGAGGGGGGTGCTAGCTCCGCGTCTCCCTGGTCTGCTGGGGGGGAAGCGCGGCCCCCGCACCGCCGGAGGGAAGCGCCCCCCTCCGGTCATAACTAGGGGTCCGACTTCATTCGGACTGACATAACCCGGGGACTGCCTGTATTCATTTCTTGTTCTTACAAGATCTTACATAAAGATCCCAGTCTTGCAAATACTTAAGTGTAACCTTCTGCCCGGTAGGCCTGGCAGCAACCAGGGCCGGGTTCAATATCTAGGGGTCCATCTCACATAGAACCAGCTCGAGCCCCCACCCAGTAGCCTGGGAAATTCACACACCCATGGGCGCCTCTGAGAGGCAGTGTTTCCCCACTCGCGAACGCAGAGTCTGAGTGTAGAAAAGAAATATTTAATGAAATAGAGAGAGAAGTCATATGGCATTAACTTGGGAAAATACCACAGAGTTCATAGCCCAAACCATGAGCAAAGTCCAACACCCCAAGAGTCTCTGGAGTCCAGCAGCCCAAAATCTCCCAGCGTCCGACATCCCAAAAGTCTCTGTCCCTGGTCAGAGTTTAAAAGTTCACCTGCAGCGTTCTACCTCCCAACCTGGGTGGAAAGGGGGGCAGGGGAGTTGATAGGGGCACCTTATGTGGTCCAAGGCTGACGGCGCCACCTCTCCGTATGATCCTGCTGCAGCCTTTACCACAAGTCACTCCACCATGCTCCAACAGCTGTCTTGTTCCACTCCACTGGTTGCTTTGCTGGCCGTCCGCTGGCCGCTCCCACCCGGTCATTCCCACCAGCCACTCCACTGGCTGCAATAGGTCTGTCTCCCGGCCAAACCAGTGATTTCAGCTCTTTAGCCATCACCTAGACTGGCAAAAGATTCCAGCTTCCACCGGACTGGCAAAAAGACTCCTCATGGAGTCTACTTCAAGTCTGTCCTTAAAACAAAAGGGGGAAAGAGGCAGGTTGGACCAGTCTTACAGCTCACCTCTGGCAGGCATGAAGCAGGCTGACCCAAGCCCTTTAGCCCTTCCCCCACCAACTCTGTTCACTCAACTCTGGAAGGGGGGAGGTTTGTTCCTCGGAGACCTTTTACAGTGATGGTGTCTCTCCTGCAAGCACTGATGTCATGTTTTACGGTTCCCACATCTAGGGGTAGCATGATTTGTGACCTCCACAACAGCCCCAAATTATTTACAATACACCACATTCCATTCCAACACTGATCCTCCATTAGCCCTGACTGAGTTGGATTTACATAACCACACCTCAGATTCCTACCCCCACCGGGCATGAGCTGTCTTTACATATCAACAGTTAACAGTTAATTATTTTGCAGAGCTAAACAATTGGAGTGAGCACACCCACCCCCAGAGCAGCTCCCTCCTCTTAGCTGGCTGATAACAAGCAGTGGTTCAGCCCCTGCTTACATAAGTATATGTGTAATTTTACTCACATGAGTAGTCTCATGTGAGACGGCCCACTGAAGTCAATGAATAAAGTTATGCACATGCTTGTGTTTTCAAGAGTAGGACTGAACTGGTTCTTAGAAATGCGTCCGTCTGATGATATGAGCTGGAACAGTGTTACTCAGTAAGTGGTACGAGTACCCTTAGGGATACTCGAGAGAAGTCTGGGGGGTACGTCAACACAACTGAAATTTGGAGAAAACTGAATTTTTGTTTTAAGTTTTACTGTGTTTGATTATTTTTGTATTTTTTAAAGCCAAAAATTTCATCGCCCGCCTGGCTACAATTAAGTTGTTTAAATAAATGTGTTGTAATGGTAGAAAAAAAATTGGTGTCTGAAAATTGTGGTACTTATACTTTTTTGTAAAAAGGGGTACTTTATAAGAAAAGGTTGAGAAACAGTGAGCTGGAACATGCACCTATCTATGGGAGAAGGTCCAGTAAATGTTTTCCCATTAATATTGTTCAAAAGTTTCCATATACATTATTTTGAAAAGGGTTGGAAAAGAAATGATTTTTCTTACCTTGTTGACAGCCTTGCTACCTCCATCATTGTTCATTGGTGCATATAATGTGATTTGATACTGAAGCTATATGTAGGAGAAGGTTCTCTTAAAAAACTTGGGCTGGCATATCCCTTAATCTGTTTTAGAATTAAGTATATAATACTCAAACTATAAACATTTATAATTTTGTAGATTACCTTTAATTTGCTTAGTAATGGAAGTACTT